AACAGGTATTCCTAATAATCCTTTAGGTCAGTGTAGATTTCTTCATTATTATTAAAAGTTCTGCTGTGTGTGCTTAACACATGTACATTTAGCACTACAACAAAGCTTTTCCATCATAGTTAAACAGTAACACAGTTGGCAACTTAGTGTACGAGATTAAATTATAATTCATTACAACTTTTTACATGGGCTTACCACATAATTTTTTTTTACTGTCCTCGGCAATGCAAGCTGCAGCAATAAATTTACTGAAGTAATGTGGCAGTAAGTTGTTTTTCTCTTACTATGAAACCCTGCCCTAGGCATTGCCATGACAACTCATACAAAGTAACTTTTCGCTGCTGCTCTGTGCACTGAGGCTTCACGGTTCACAGCACACAAAGCTAGACCCACCCAAAAAATCAATACTGTGAGCTATAATATTGAGGCTTAAACTTTAAGCTAAGTACAAATCTAAAAATCTATTAAAAGTTGTCTGTAAGTGCTGCGCTCATGAAACTTGGCAAACTAGTTCATTTACCCACCTAGTTTATCTGTGTGAAATTTCAGCCCCCTAGGTCACAGGGTTCAGCCGAAGGACCCCCTAAAATCATAAAGCCCACTGCGGCTCTTTGGTAAGTGCTGCAGTCGTAAAACTTGGCAAACTTGTTCCTGAATGGGCCTAATTTATCCAAGCCAAATTTCAGATGCCTAGCTCATACAGTTCAACTGTGATGCCCCCTAACGTTAGTTTCAGCAAATATGGCTAGGGCTAGCCTAATGATGCATAATTACACTGAACAAATGTGTTCAGGGCTAGCCTAATGATAAACTCAGTCAGCAGATCTGTCATATCAATATGTCAATAGTGATCCATGATATACATCTTAAGGTTGCTCAGAGGATAGTTGACTGTCCTCTCTCCTCACTTGAAGAACTTCACAGCTCCTGTTGTCTCAGGAACGCAAAGAAAATTCTTCAGGACCCATCACACCCAGGACATGTACTGTTTGAACGCCTGCCCTCAGGCAGACGTTTCAGATCCATAAAAACCAAAACAAACAGACTGAGAAACAGTTTTTACCCCTCAGTCATTACCATGCTGAACACTGCTAGGTGGTCAATTTGAGCCAGGGCACCGTTCATGTTTACATTACTACACTGTTATTTTGTTTACATTACAGCCTTATGTTTCATGCCAAAACTGGCTAAGGAAACAAGTGCAATACGTAGTTTGTTTGTAACTTTGTTTGCAGGTACGAAAGAAAGTAGCGTTCAGGCTCTTTCAGAGTGACTGTTTTTATTTTGCACTGGAGAATTGCACTTTAATTTCGTTGTACAATGTCTCATTGCTACAATGACAATAAAGATTGTATTCTATTCTATTCCCATCCAAGCATTTGCTGTTCAAACATGCTGATTCTCTCAACCAGACTCTCTTTCAGAGCTTGAAATTCTTCCTCTGGCAACCCACTCACGTCTTTGTCTTCCAACTCGACACATTTCTCCTCTGCACCATAAGCATATTGCTTTAAGTCAACATAGGCAAATTTGGACCACAATGTCTCCTTAGCGACCTGAAGTGTTTCCGTGTATTTAGCAAAGCACTTCTGCAGTTTCTCCTCTACAGAAGAAACTTCTTCCACTTTTCCCTCCTCACATTTTACTTCTCCCAGGGCATCAACGTACTCAAGACCAGTGTCGTGCAACTTCACAAAGTCCACACTAAGTGTTCTGATCTCGTCAATTAGCGCCTTTTCTTCTAGGAGATCTACAGCAAGAAACAGCTTATTGGCTCTTTTACTAAAAAGAGCTTGTGCTGCTGAGCGCTTTCCTTTTAGGGCTTCTAATTCAGCTGAATCCATCCTCCTTTGTTCACACTGACTCCGGCACTGTTACACAGAGGGGTCTATTCGGCCTATTCCTCCTTTTTTGGTGCACTTCTGCAGGTCAATGCAAACAGGGCAATGGCAGACTTGGCCCTTGTCTTGATACAATCTGGCACTTGATTTATTACTGTTCCGTTTATTTACTTATTTGTTTTCTCCCAACGGAAAGGGCAGCCCAGTGCACAAGAATATTACTCGGATTCCACTTATTATTTCTTCATTTATTTCAAAGTGAAAGCAGGTAATAAATCTGAAACAATAATAACGGAAAATTCACATTTCTGGTTAATCAGCCAAATGTCTGTTGCTATTCACCACAATAGCTTAATGACAACAAGCAAGAATAAATAACACATCAACTCATAATAAACAGCATCAACCCACATCCTATGACGTGGCAAAGTATTATAAATGGTATAATATGACATACATTATTGATATGCAAATATAAACCTACATATAATAAATATAACACTAAATATAATACTAAATGCATTTAATTTTATTCCATTCTGCAATATTGTCAAGTTTAAACAGGGTATATAAAATGCACATTTTAGCTTGGGTATGGAAAACTACAATTCCCACAATGCTTTACAACAGACCAGGGCGTACAGTGCCTACATTCAAACACTGGTCTCCGTGATTCAAACACCAAACATTTAACACGCTGCTTAAACACGAATAAATACGGATAAACCATCAATAACCATCACAACAACAAAGTTTAGTTCTTTGTCTTATGCCCCAAAGGTTCACTACATCGTATTAATCTTTTAACAGGTTCACATTAACTAAACAAACTGCCAGCCTTTTACCGGCGCATAGTGCCTGTCTTAATGCAGAATATAAGGGAGCACACGTAACAAAGTTCAACATTACAGCATAGCAACAGACAAAATCTAAAAAGAGCATCAACTCACCAAGTGGCTACACACCGGGCTGAAACCACAATCAAACCAGGTACCTACTATTGAGAGACGTATCCATTGTATTTCCTTATAAAAGGTCACATGATCTCGCAGCATACACCTTTCTTAAAGAGGTACTACATCGATTAGATCTAACAGCATCTAGCTTTCGCAACCAAACAAACATACACACAAAGTCATGAAACATCAAAGATCAATAAATATACAAATAATACAACAGGTATTAACAATAGGGAACAGGATCCAAATAAAACAGCTATGAAACAGCTACAGGCTCTTTGGAGAGCAGCAGCTATAACATTTCCTAATGCAACTGTGTATACCGCAATCATAAATTATTCTGATCTGTTACCTAGGGCACATCAGGAAACTTTAAAAACAATTAATGACTACATTTTAAAAAATGGGAACTATTTCCAGGAATTACATGGACTAAGGTTCAAAGTAGATCTAAGGGATAAAATCCATTGGACTAAAGAAACAGCCAAAACCCTCTTAGACTATTGGTTGCAACAGTTAAACTGTTAAGTCAGGTGAAGTGTCGGGCAGAATTGCCCATACACACCGCCTTAAAACATAATGGTATACAAGATAAACAAATTATCAATGTCTAACACCTTTAAATTAACAGAGTCGGAGGGGGAGCTTTTGAACAAAGGCCTGTCTTTTATTCCAGCACCACTAGGGGGCGACACTAATACCCTTAAAAGGGATGTGCATGGTTTCAATAGAAAATTAAGACTTTGCGACTATTATAAATTACATAGAGCTAAAGAGCAAGTTCAATTTACATCGGGGACAAAATGGGAACCGAGAACAGAAGTGTTGTCAATACCAATACAGCAATTAATAGGACAAAACAACAGAGCGGTGGCCAAATTAAAAAAGACCAAAAGAGTGCAGGACAACTTAACTAAAACACAACGAGGAGCTATTAATACGTTAAAAAATAATAGGGACATAGTGATTAAACCGGCGGATAAAGGGGCTAGTATAGTAATAATGGATAGACAACAGTATATATTAGAAGCTAAAAGACAATTAAACAATGAAACTGATTATACCACATTAGATCACCCTTTGTATAAGGATTACCAAATTTTACAGGAATTATATAGAACAGGATTTATTAATGCAAAACAGAAATTTTACTTAATGGGTCCGAATCCACCTCGACCCCGACAATTTAATTTACTTCCTAAAATACATGCGGAACCACATACTTGGACTATTCCGTATGAGGTTCCTAAAGGCAGACCGATAGTTTCAGATTGTGATAGTGAAACATATAAAGTAGCGGAGTATATTGACTCTTTTTTGAATCCACTGTCTCAAACACACAGTAGTTATTTGAAAGACACATGATTTTATAGATAAAATTTCTAGGCTACAAATGCCAGAAGGGGCCTTTCTATTCACTATAGATATAGAAAGCTTATACACTAATATTAGTATGGAAGTAGGTTTGAGGGCAGTGAAACGGTGTTTTCAGCAATGTCTGAATGTACGAACAACTCTTGCAGTTACTTGAAATTAGTCTTACCAGAAATGACTTCCAGTTTGACAACCAAGTTTATTTACAGATTCAGGGGACGGCCATGGGCAAAAAGTTTGCACCAGCATATGCAAATATCTATATGGCCGATTGGGAAAGGAGCCTGTTTGAAGGGTGCACCCACTTACCATTGGTGTACCTGAGGTATCTAGATGATATCTTTGTGATATGGCATTTGGGGGCAGATACGTTTAAAACATTCCTAGAGGAGGCAAATTCACACCATAAACACATTAAAATTAAACATAACATCAATTATGAGTCTGTGAATTTTCTGGACACTACGGTATTTCTGGGTGACACAACAGGATCGGACAGGAAACTAAAAACAAAAGTTTACTTTAAGCCTACAGATACACATTGCCTATTACACAAGGGGAGTTACCATCCAAAGCATACGTTTAGGGGTCTAATTAAATCACAATTAATTCGGTTCCACCGCATTTGCTCAGAAGAGCAACATTTTCAGGAAATACCAAAATAACAAATTTTCAAGGAATTTTATTTCTCATTCATTCAGCCAGGATGGAGGTGGATTGACCTTGTGGGGGTCTCGGCACTGGGGGGTGCCTCCGGGGGACACCGGGAGCGGGGTCGACGCCGTACACAGGGGGGCGCCATAACCTGCAACAGGATGAAGCCTTAGTAAGGAAATAACCGGAGATGGGAATACTGAACCACAGTTTGGAAATATTAATAATTATAAAGTGTGGAACCCAAAGCCCCAGTGGGGGACCCAAAGCCCCAGTGGGGGAATGCCCTGTTGCAGGAAAACGGTTATACTTACCTGTCTGCGTCGCTGCTCCTCCATCTGCTCCTCCGGACCACTTACCTGTCGTCTTGGACTCCTCTGGATCCGTTTACTTCATCGCCCCTGCAAAAGAGGAAAATAAAATAAATAATTAATATTTAAGCCATAGTAAGGGATGACGGTTGTGTGCGTAAGCGGGTGGATGCAACAATAGACCCAGATTGGACAGTGCATTCCTGTGGCCCTGGGACGCTGAGGTCACAGATTTTCATTCCCCTAACCTTAACCCTAACCATAACCCTAACCTAACCACCAACCCACTTCCGGTCCCTAAACTTAACCCTTACCCAAACCATAACCATAATCCCAAACTCCAGGCCCTAACCGTAAACCACAACTGCAACCCTATTACTGCCCTAACCCCAAGTCCACCTCCGGTCCCTAAACTTAACCTTTACCCCAAACCACTTCCCTAACCGTAAAACACTCCAAACCCTAACCCCAAACCACTTCCCTAATCCTAAAACCTAACTACAACCTTAGGCCCTGCCCTAACCCTTAACCATAACCACTAACCTTAACCATTCACCGCCGTACCACGGTTCAACATAGCCCCCATCCAAGGGGATTCTCCCTATTTAGTAAAGGTTTATACCTATAACGGATAACTGGAATAGTGCTGCCAGTGCACCTTGAAACACTATATGTGTTATGTTAAACATTTAATACTTACCTTAACCTAACCATAACCATAAACCACAACTGTACCCCTAAACGTAACCTAGCTTCCGTGGAGGAAGGCTAGGGGCCGCATCCCTAACCCCAAACCCCTTTCCCTAACCATAAAACCACTGACCTCATCTCTAACCGTAACCCTAACCCAGTGAGGCCTAAAACCTAAGCCCAGTGAGGCCTAAGCCCTAACCTTAATCACCCTGTAATTTAAAATAACCCTAAGAAAGGGAAATCTAACCCTAGATGGGACTTTAAATAACCCTAAGTAAGGGGAATCTAACCATAGATGGGATTAAAAATTATGCAGGGTGACATAATAATTATTATTATATAGATGTATTCCCCACTGTGTACCCTCATTTGCCTCAATCCTCAGAGGAGGAAGGTCATGGGACACAGTTGTGGTGTTAACAACTTTATTCATTTTCTTATTGGAAAGGATGGCAGTGGATTGACCTTGGGGGGTCACCGGCACTGGGATGTGCCTCCGGGGGACACCGGTAGCTGCGCCGGCACCGTACACAGGGCAGCGCTATAACCATAGTAGGGAAAACAAGCCTCAGTGAGGAACATGAAGCCTTAGTAAGGACATAACCTGAGACAGGAAAAATAGGACAATTACCTCCTGAGCCGGCGTAGGTCTGGTCAGCCACGTCCGAGCTAGAGTATAGGAGAAGAAATAATAAAGGGGATATATATAAAAACCTCAGTGAGGACATTTAAAAGTCAGTACTTACTTGTCTGTGCCGTTGCTCCTCCTCCTGCTCCTCCGGATCACTTACCTCTCCTGGATCCTTCTGCTCCGTCGCCCCTGGAAAATTAAAACAAAAAGGATTTAAATTAAATTAAACAAAGCCCCAGTTGGGGATATATGGATGGACTCGGATTGGACAGTGCACTCCTGTGGCCCTGGGACGCTGGGGTCACAGTCTCATATCCCTAACCCTAACCATTAAATTATTGGGATGCCCACTAGGCGTTATCCCATGCCCACTAGGCCTCAGATATTGGGATGCCAACTAGGCCTTATCCCATGTCGGTGCTCTAAGGGTGTCACACCATCGGCTCCAGCCGTCCAAATGATCACCTGCACTGCAGCTCTTCTATTTATATAGTGGGGGAAGCCCCGCCCCCTGTTCGGCACTGCCGCTTAATTTAATTTATTATATGTCCTAAGGGTATAGTCCTTCCCATATCAGTAAATAATAAGTATTTTTGTTGTTCCAGGTCGCGGATGTTTCCGGATTCCAGGTAACTGTCCAGGTAAGTAAATTAATTTTTTGTTTTAGTTTTTCCGCAGCTAAATGATGCTTCCAAGGAGATGGGGGAAGCGGGCGGACACCGTGTGACAGCATGGTGGCACGGGCAAGGTTAGGTTTTAGAGTTGGGGTTGGGGGAGAGAGTCTTAGGGTTAGGGAAGGGGGTTTGGGGTTAGGATAGGGGTGGGGTAGGGGTTTAGGGTTAGGGAACAACCCCAGGAAGGCACTGGCCTACTACATACTGCCTGGTGTCCACCCTTGTCCCTCACATCCCCTGGCATCGCTGCTAAACATGCCCACTAGGCCTCAAATTAATAATTACTCTTTCTCCTCACTATGGCTTATGACAGTCTCCACGACGTATCAGGGTAAGTATATGGGACACTGAATAATTATAAATAATGCCCACTAGGCTTTTATATAGTCCCCACTATGGTTTAATCAAAGAGATATACAGAGCCATCCATCCAGGGTATCTTTAGAGTGCCGTTCTAGGCCTTAATAAGTGCCCACTAGGCCTTATAGACTGCGGACCATGTCAGGTCTCAACGCGTTTTGGGCTGCCTTGCCCTCATCAGGAAACCGGCGAAAATATTATCAAAGGGGAGCCCACTGGGCTTCAACCCCTAACCCTAGATGGGATTTAAATCTGTTCTGAGGTTCTACACATTTTCATTATCTCTGCTCTGCATACCCGACTGAACTTTTACTGGCACTATGCTTTAGCTCAGGGGTGTCAAACTCCAGTTCAGGAGGGCCAGAGTCCTGCACATTTTTGTGTTTCCCCTCATTTAACACACCTGATTCAACTTCTTGCACCTCCTTGTGCTAATTACCACACAGCTCCTGAGCTGAATCATTTGTGGTGGAAAAGGGAAAGAACTAAGGTACGGTGGGCTTCGGCCCTCCAGGACTGCAGTTTGACACCCTTGCTTTAGATGAAACAGAGCACCGATTGTGTTTGCTTAGGTGTACCATGAGCCAGGCTACAAAATGTGTTAAGGGGCTCAAGGAACATAACATTGCATTCTCTTTTAGAACTGCTTGTGAGCTCTGCCCACATCACCACCGTCCTAAAGAAGGCTACTAAGGAGACCACAGCAGTCCTCCATAAGTATGTAGGGCAGTGCTCATCAAATCTTGAAATCTAAGCCTTGTTTTCAGTTCTTCCGAGTAGTTTAATAATTTCCGATTGACTGGAGGCTTCACATCTTGCTCAAAGGTAACAGAGATTGGAAAATCAGCAGGGCCTTGGGGACCATGATTTGAATAGCCCTGGCCTAGAGGAAAGATTATAGTAACCTGCCCTCCCCAAGTAGTGCATGTCTCCTCAACTTGTGTTTTAATCTGCAGTTGAACTTGAGAAACATCCAACAACTGAAAACCTATACCGGTTCTATGGTCTCCTTGCCGGGTTTATTATCTGTATGACTGGGCACCGGAGAGGGGTCATCAGAAATATGACGTTGGAGGAGGTGTGCAGTGCTGAGATTGACAATCAAGAGTGACGGATAATCAGAGTAAGAATTTGTTCACCACACACACACAAACACAAACTTTGACAGACCATTTATTGTGTTTCACAGGTAAAGGAGCACAAAACAAAAGAAACATTTGGCCACGCCCTCATTCCGCTCACAAAAAGTGAGTTCATATGGTTCTACCGGTTTGTTTATCACCAACATGAATTCCCATGTGGGGACTCAGAGTTGGTCTTTGCCAACTCCAATGGTGGTGCTTGCAATGATATACTGAAACATTTCCAAGAGTGCTGGAAGGAGTTTGGCCTGCCGGGAAACCAAACCTTTCAGCTTATATGAAGCAGCATCAGCACCATTGTAAGTTCATAATATTTTTATATAGCACCTTTGACAACATAGTCACCCCAAAATGCTTTGCATGGGTGCATCGTGATTCAATACATCAACAAGGAAAAGGCAGAAAGCCAGATGACAACAAACTGGGTTCACTTTAAAATTAAAATTAAAAAATAATAATTTGTTCTTGCAAACAGTCTTGTTTTTGCTTTTTAATTGAGAATGTCTGTTGTTAAATTAAGTAAAACTTGCATGTTTTTAATATAGGTCAGCAGATCTCTGGCGACCCAGAAGATGGCCAACATTCGAAGGATGATGTGCCATTCTGGTGCAACGGCCGAAAAGTTGTATGTGGCGGATTTGAATTTTAATGAAGCTTTTCAAAGTAGAAATGATACAGAAGAAGCCATGTCAAAGAATGCTGAGCAGTGTGGCACATTGTCAGAAGATGATGTGGAGGACAGAGGAAGTGAGGGAACATCTTAGGGCCAGAAGAGGGGGAGACCCCACAGTGAGAGTGACTCAGGCGAAGAGATGTTTGTTCAAAAAAGAAAGTGGCGTAGAGTGAGGCGTCACCTCACTGATAGTGACAGTGATTTGGAAGTACCAGAACCAAATGTCATCGATCGGACAACCAGCACAATTGTGTATGACATGAACTGAGATATAGTCATTATTACAATAGATGCAACCGAAAGTGACCACTCAACACAGACTGACGGGACTGCAGACAAAGATGGGAATGCGACAGCAGAAGATATGACCGAAGGCGACCACACGACACAGACTGATGGGACTGCAGACAAAGACGGGGACGCGACAGCAGAAGACATGACCGAAGGCGACCATGTAACGCAGACTGATGGGACTGCGGACAAAGACTGGGACGCGACGGCAGAAGACACAACCAAAGGCGACCAGGCAACGCAGTCTGACGGGACTGCAGACAAACACTGGGACAAGACAGCAGAAGACATAACCAAAGGCGACCATGTGACGCAGACTGACGGGACTGTGGACAAAGACGGGGATGTAAAGACAGAAGCCGTGACCGGAACTGCATATTGCAGTCCATTAACCACCATTGCGCAAGGACGCCTATTGTAGAATGTTATCGCAAGCAGCATCACTCGGACAAAAGGGGCAATT